GCCATGTCTAAACGAACTTTTTACGAAATACCTATGCGCGTAAACTGTCGAATAGCCGGGTGGAGAGAGGGTTAGGAAAATTCCATCAGTAGCGTGCTCGAAAATCGTCGGGTGCGCAGGTGGGTCACGGACAATTTTTTCAAACGAAAAAGCCGAAATTCTCGTAGAATTTCCCGTACTGCCGAGATAATAAACTGCCAAAAAGGATGTAAAGACGCAGGATTTTAGAGTGACCCCAGAAATTCGACCACGCCCCCTTTCAAAGCGAGGATATAACAACAAGACCAACGATTTATACATCACCTATTAATGTAGAGCTGGGAACTTATTGCTTTTAAAATCCACAAAACACCACTTAAAAANGAAGCAAAAAAACGGTAGAAGGAATTAAATGTTTCTCTCCTTACCTTATTTAGTACAATTTTCTAACACTACAAAATTAAAGTTGACCCAACGTTAAATTTTTTGAAATACGCACAATTTTGTTCAAACACTGTTAATTTTTGTTAATCATTTTGGCCTTGTTGAAAAATTATATTTTATAATCCACAGTCGTTGGACAGGGGAACATTTAAATCTTTCTACCTTTCTTATGATATTTGTTTAAAGTGGTTTTTTTTTAACTTTTTTAAGCGTTTTTTTTGTGAATTTTAAGTCCCGAAACCTACTTATTATATTATAACATAGTGCAGTTGTTAACGGGTTGTTAAAAATATTATTTTTTCGTTATTTTTTCCTTTTTTCGCAGGAACAGTCGACGCGATCCGCCGGCGACGGAATCGGCCCAGATGAGAACCTACTGATCGTATGATTGTGAAACGACTGCCGACATTCGAAACATCATCATTACGTTCTACACGCGGACGACCGTTTATTTATTATTATTCTATTCCTCCCCCCCTCCTCCCTCACCGGAGACCAAAACCCCGTTTACACGATATTTATACTGTCATCGTCATCAACGCGCCCGCTCAACACGCTCATCGGATACACCCGTCGAAAACATTGTATTGCCGTACACACGTGACGTACCTACCACTCTCTCGGTAGAGTATTGCGACGATATGCGGAGGAGCCCGGCGCAGCAGCCCAATCACTAGGCCCCGGGATTATTTATTTCTACACGACGAGCGCCGCAACAAAAGCAAAACAAAAATTTATAGTCACAGCAAAATTTAATTTAAAAAAATAAAAATAAAATTTTTAAAAAAAAAATAGTAATAATGATAATAATAAATGAAAACAAAATTTGTTTAGTTTTTTTTTTTTTTTTTTTATAATTTTCAATACGATTTTATATTTTGGCCGCGCAGCTATCACGGCGACGGGTCGCCCTCCACCAGACGTAACACACTATAAAATAACAATAATAATATTATTACTATTACCTATTACGAGACACTCATCGTTTTTACAAAAAAAAAAATAATATTTGTTGTGCATTTGTGCGTGTGCGTTTTCCCCACCTCTTTTTCAATATTTGTCCGGCGTGTTACTTCGCGGGAAGTATTCACTCCCTCGTATACGGGACGCGCACGCGCGAAATCCGTTTTGATTCTCGTGCATGTATGTATGTGTGTGCGTGTGTGTGTGTGTTTGTGTGTTTGTGTGTGTGTGTGTGTGTGTGTATTTTTGGTTTTTTTCACCGCCGTCGGTACATAATTTTCGTGACATTTCGGGGGGAACGGTGGTTGGCGAACGGGGTGCGGGGAGTGGGAAAACCACACCCGAGCACACATATACTAGTGTAATATTATTTTTCGGAAATTTCGTCCGATCGCCTACGTGTTACGTACACGCACACGCATTTTACTGTGTACGCGCCTGGACCCGGCGATACGGTTTTGTTTTTCGCGCCTCCTTCCTCCAAACCCCGCCACCCTCCCCGCTTCCCACTCCGCCCCAACTCCTAAGCGAACCGCGAGTCCGCCAAACCTCCCCCCCCCCGGATCTGTTGGCGCGCATACCCATCGGGCCCGCGTGTGTCCGTGCGATTTATGTAAATTGTGTATGTATACATATGAGTTTATTATCGCCTAAACCCTATCCGTACACCGCAACACAACCCCGTCGTAATACGCACGTACGGGTATATACGAATTTTGTTTATAATTTTTTTTTTAAATCGTTGTTTTTAACAGTTTTTTTTTTTTTTATCATTGTGTTTCCTACGTTTATATAAGTAGAATACGCACCTGTAGTGTGTGCACTGTTGTCATACATATACAGTATCCGTTACACCTCCAGCCACTGCCCCTTCCCCCCCTCTCCTCAAAAAGAAAACGAAAATCACCGTTTATTACCCCGAAGCTTACCGAACAGTTCACTCGAAAATAGTAATAATAATAATTAAAAAAAAAAAAAAAAATCGATTTTTACCTGTATCGATACGAGGGAATTTAATATTTTAATATTGTGAATATTACGTTTTTTTAGAAAAAAAAAAAAATTTAAATATAAAATAAAAAATTTAAACGAATTGTTTTTTTTTTATTTCCGATTTATATATATATATAAATATAATATATATTTATTTATATATATAGGTATAAAACAAATAATTGTGTAAAGTTGGAAATTTGAAATTTATGCGTTTTTAAATTTTATAATATTATATAATATAGTTATTTTATTATTATTATTATTATTATTATTATTATTTTGTATTAATGTAAATTATTGCGCTGTTATATTCTCGTTGAAAAGTAGAATTTTTTTTTTTTTGTATAATTATTCCTTCGAGCACATCTATATTATTATTATTATTATTATTATTGTATACCTATAAATATCTTTCCCATATACCTAAATATTATTATTGTTGTTATCAGATATTAAGCTTACCCCCTGCCACTATATCGTCCCCTCTCTTTGTAGAGCTCGTGTGTAGTTGTGTATATTTATGTGTATAATGAATTTTAGATACGCTAAAAAAAAAAAATTTTTAAATAAAATTCCCTTTTTGCTGTACATTTTTTTTTTTATATATATATATATATATATACATATATAATATGTGTATACTTACCATATATATTATATATATATATATATATATATATGCATATATTATATTATATTTATACATATTATATTATTGTAACTGTTGTAAAAACGACGAGTTTTTAAAGAAGAAAAAAAAAAGAAAAGAAACAAAGAAATCTATCAGTTCCTAATTTTTTTATTGTAATATTAATATAAAAATAACAATGGTAAACGAAAAAAAAAAATAATAATAAACTCAAAATATACCAAACACGTTGTTGCTATTATTTTAAATTCACGATGATATTTTCTTTGTGTGCGCGCGCGCGTGAACCAAAACGCAAAATCCGCTATAAGAGGGGGGGGACTTGATATGATTTTCGTTAAAATGTTTTCTCGCCGCCTATATGATTACGTCTGTACGTATCTCGTCTCCAACCGAACCCCGTCATTTTCCGGTGTTTCCGCGTCCCTAGCGTCCCGGCGTGTTTCGGTCGCATTTTCTGCGTGCCCTCCGATTGCGCGGCTCCGGCCCGGACCCGCGGTGCCACTTCCACCCCGCACGGTGAATACGGCGAATAAATCCACTGGTTTTCCACGGCTCCCCTCCCCCCCCCATTACCTCCCCCTCGCCAAAAGAAAAATAGCGTCAAGCGCGGACCGCGTGTTTTCCCCGGTCACACACCCGCAGTGGCGTTTCGCGGCGACATCTCCCGGTCCCGCGAACGTTTCTCCGTCCGGCTTCTAACGGACGCACGACACGCGAAATCTCACTGGGTGTCTGGCGTACTACGTGAACGGGAAACCGGCGGGAAAAATGCCCCCGAGTACGGCTGCGGCCGTACAATTTTCGGAAACGCCGGTTTTCGCGAGCCGTGCCGTGCACAGTAGGCGTCTCGCAGTGGCCCGCGCGATACGCCGACCCGATCGGTAAAAAAAAAAACCGCGCACGTGTTCGCCGCGTAAACCACGCCGCATTTGAATTCTCTCCGGATTTTCCCGGAATCTCCTATCCCGGATCGGGACAGGCTAATCACGCGCTGGCGTACGAGTGCGCAGTACGGGAGTGTTTTCAATGGCTGTAAAAATCGATAATTCCGCGCAATGGGTTTGTAAATTGTACTCGTTGATTTTTTTTTTTGTAAGTAATTCAAAGTTTTGTTTGTATTTATTTGTATTGTACCTGTATATTATGTATTATTATTTATTTTTAAACCTATGTAACTATTTTGTTTGATTAGGAACTCGTATTTTTTATACATAATATATAATATATTATACATATTTATGTACGTCGTACGCGTGTTCTTAAATTCTGAGCGGAGCGAGGGACCTATTGGTTTTACTATACGATGTGTGTGTGTTTTTTTTTTCCTGTCTGTAAACAACATTTCTCCCCGAATTCTCGCGCCAATCAAAACACGACAGGTGACTTTTTCGTTGCTTTTTTTGGCTCTAGTTGGCACTTTATTATCATTATGATTTTTTGAAATTCTCACTAATATTCGATACAGCGAGGAAAACGGTTAAAATAGATGAAAAGATAGATAGATGAAAAAACAAGGTTGTCGTTTACAACCGTTTTTATTTAGATTTTGTTATTATTAGGTTTATACTATTTTAATCTGTTTTAGAACAATCGTCATTGTAAAACGCACATTGTCGGAAAAGCGATACAACAATAGACCGAGCTCCGCTCAGAATCGTTTACCTTAGCAATGATTAATCGTTGCGTACAGATATAAATTCCCCTTTATATCCTACCTTCCTAAGTTCCCACAGCTACAACAGTGGCCGCACCCGTCCCCAGTGTTCCCAGTTTACAATTTTTATATTAACTAAGTGATATTAATGGATATAATATCGTACTTAACTTACGATACTGTATCGTAAATAAAAGTACAAAACGTAGGCGAACAAAAAATAAAACAAGAACAACAAGGGTATGAAAACTAAGCCGAAAATAATTCATTATTTTCGTTTTCGGACGTCTTAGGCATTTGTTCGGAGGAGTTAGTTCTTCGCCCGGTCCCCTGTTATTTGTTCAACGAGACTCGGTTTTTTATAGCAAGCCTACGGGCGCCAAAACGGATAATGTACTCGTGTCCCGGGCGCGTACTTACGGACCCTGTCCGAGTTCGACCCGAGCCAGAACGCGACCGAGTCGCTTTCGCGTGTTTCACGAAACATATTAACCTATACTTTGTCCGAACCCGACCCGAAGGTCCTCCGAGGCCCGACTTAATTTTCCACCCGCCCACCACAACACGAAATACTCCCGCCCCGCCATAGCACAAGTACATTGATATTTGTCAAACCCGAAGAAAATCCGTCAAATCCACCAAACGTTTGTTATATTTCTGGACGTACGGTTTTTTTGTGGATCGCGTGATTCAATTATACCTCCTTCGGGCCGCCACTGTCTCGCAATATTCCACGGCGGACGGGCACGTAGACATATCGTTGCGAAATGCCGTTTGTTTCCGATTCGTATTCTTACCGCACGCCCGTCCTGGTCGAAAACCCCGAAAGTGTACCACGTGTATGACGTTGAACGTGCACGCTGAATGATATCGCGCGGGTATTGTAAGGCCGCGCCCGATCGTGTTTTCATCGAACGGCGGCGGCCGACCCGCGAGGAAATCGATAAAATACACACGCGCGGAAAATCAAAAAAAAAAAATAAATAAATAAAATATTATACGCGATTTTTTTTGTCGGCGATCTAGTGCCGCGTGTCGGCTACCAGCAACGCGTCGCTGTGACGAAAATCATGTCGTGAATCACGGCCCGCGAGAATTAAGGTTTTTACGGCGCAGCAATATCGTGTTTTTTTATTCACTCGCGCGCTAAGCTACGGGTCAAGAGCGACCGAGATTTCTTTTACCGCGACCGCCTAAATCGCCGTATCAGCCTTTTCGATTTATCGAAGCTGTTCAAACGTCGGTGGCGTCCATCGGATCGCTTCTATTTCATATCCGGCTGCAGTATTTCTGGCCACGTCGCCCCTTACGCGATGTTTTCCTAAACGGCCGTTTCCATTGCCGTATTTGCCCGTGTCCCCTATCTACCAAATCTTCGCGTTTTCTCCACACGCGACCCGCCTGTTGCCGTCTTCTCCACGCGATCTCTTTCGCCGTGCTCGATCGGCGATACAGGTACCGCCTCAGCACCGCGTTAAATCACTCCCGCCACTCCCTGATTCGCAGTCCGTATATTCTCCTTAAACTTTCCCTTTCGAATCGATAATTCATTAGTCGTAAACGCAATGTTTTATCTATTCGTACGCCTATACATAGTCCGTGTAATGGTAGGTACTGCACTGTACTTTGCGTGTCTCCAAAAATATTCACATTATTATCGTGCCGTTGCAATAAAATAGACCATTTAATAAACGGTGAGTAAACGGAACGACAAATCGTTTACCCATAAATTACATACTACTTGGGTACTCCTCCGTACACGTATAATAATAGAAAGTTTAGAATTGGAGTAAGACTACTGTTTTTTTTTTTTTTTAAACCGTTCTTGGCGTGTAAGTAGGTATACAATAGTAATACCGTAACTGCGGGTCGACATAAACAAAGTTTCAACGGTTTATTTCGACGGTCGAATCCCAAAATAATACCACGGTTAGTACGGTGGTAATCGCCGAATAAATCGAGTGAGAAAATATATCAATTGTTAGGCACGTCGACGGTCTGGTATTCAAGGGGACAGGTATAGGCAATTTTATTGACATCCGTGAAAAAAACAACAACGTTTATCTGTTCAACAACTCGTTGAATTCATTCAAATTTGCTTTCAAATTAATTGACGGACCAATTACGATTGAGTTATACCATTTTGTTTCGCTATGAAATAAACTAAAATGCTTTTACGGAGGACTTAATTATTAAAACGTATAGTATTTTAGTACGGTAATATTATGGCCTAGGCTTGTAAAATAAACAGAGTTCATTGGCCAATTCAAAAGCGATTTGCCACATTTTTAATCAGAGCTTTGTGTTTAATGGATTTCGTTTTTTCTGTATTCGTCGACCTCGAGAACCCACTACATGAAACTCATTGACACGTCAGATCTTTTACTGACACACTACACATATGATGTGGCAATCTATTAAGAAGTGGTAACCGTCTCCCTCTTGGCCTTTATGGTTATTGGTTAAATTAACAATGGCGGGGCCAATCCTTGAATCGCTGTAATAGTTTATCAAATTCGATAATTATCAGTTTATATATCACGCACAATATTTTATTATCAACTGTGTTAATTCTTCAACGAGAAACGATAATAAAATATGGCATGTGATAATATACCTGTATAGTGATAGTTTATCAAATGTTTACTAAGTGTTATCACTTTATTAGTATTATCTTTTATCAAACGCAAATTATTATTATAGAGATCATGAAGTTTACAAAANATTATAAACTGTGTTAATTCTTCAACGAGAAACGATAATAAAATATGGCATGTGATAATATATCTGTATATTGATAGTTTATCAAATGTTTACTTAGTGTTATCACTTTATTAGTATTATCTTTTATCAAAGCATATTATTATTATTATAGAGATCATGAATTTTACAAAATAATAAATTATTATTTCCATTATGTCTAACCAACTTTTTTATGTATGTATCTTTATTATCTATCAGGTTTAAAATGGAAATCGATAGATGAATATTTCCAATGATATATTGATAAAAACCGTTAGCAAAGAAATCCAAAGCTATAAATACCTAAACTATAATAAACAAATTAACACACAAATTAATGTTCACCTACAATTATTTTTAGGGATAATAATGTAAGATGTACTAACTTTAGTCTGTACACCTAAAGCAGATTTTCTTGTTGGTTCTATTATAAATGGAGTAAGTATGTTTATAACATATAACACTAAATCTCTTTTGGTCTATAATTTTTAATCATCATGCAATTAAAAAGCATCAAACTTATTTTCTTGATGATGTGTCCCGTGTACGTGGGCACATATAAACCAATTGTGCCGTAGTGATTTCAATGGAATATTTTCTGGTAACGATAACGTCGGCGTGTGATTATTACGCGCTATCGAGTCAAAGCATCTACGCGTTTACAAGTCGGAACTCATAGACTATGGGAAATAAAATCTGTACAATATGATTATAATATATATTTATTAATTAATATATTATAAATGACGATTTCAAGACCTGAATTTTCTCCCCCGCGAACAAATTAAGCGGCGTTATAATATCGTTGTCGTAACATACACCACAACGTCGTATTAAAAAACCGTTCAGAAATGATTGGTTTTTTTTTTTCCCCCGTTTAGACGCCACCGTGGACGCTCAAAAGTTTCGATCCGGGCAGCAGTGCCGTGTCATTTTTCAACAACACCGTCGTCGATTCGTTCACGTTGACCAGATGGACGTGGACGGATTCGTCCGGCGGCTTTTAGGACACCAGATTAAAAGTAACGTCACTCAATAAAGACGGTATGTGGACCTGCAATTATTATTTGTTTCTTTTATTT